AAATTATGAACATTGCTCAACATCATGAAAATTAAACCTTATTTTCAATAAGCAATCCTGAAAAATATTTGGGGGTGCTTAACTTTTTTCCAGGTGTATATGTATGTATAAAGTTAAAAAAAGTAGGTGATAGAAGGCCACATACCATTAGGCATTATTGAATGTTGGTTTGATTGGGTATGAATTAACAATGTGGATGTATAAAAAATAAATTATGAAGAAATTAAAAGGTTCGTTATTGCATTATTCAAATAAAGATTTTAAATATTCAGTATAAGTTTAGTATGTGTTTTGTGTTATAACTGAAATATTGTTTTGCAATTCCATATTTTTTATAATTTCTCATAAAATTATACTATCTTTATCTTTAAGTGTTTTACTTTGATACAGAATCTCAAATATATGTAAACAGATAATCTTGTTTAACCAATGTTTAAAGTGAATTTAAAAACTTTAACAATTTAATTATGATACTAATTAAAATTGCCACAATAAAATTCACAGTTTATTACAGAGTTAAGAATTTACTATAAATTTAGATTACTTAGTGTTTCACACAAAGATCTGATGATAATTTCTCTGCACAAAAAAATTTGAATCTGCATATAGCTTAGATTTATACTCATTCAGACGTCATTGTTTTTGAACATTTACAGGTTAAGTACTTCACGAACTTACTTAAAAAACGTAATGGCTTGTAAATAACTGTCCCATTGAAGAAAAAAGTGAAAACACTTAGCCTGGTCACTGAAACAAAATATCCCATAAATTTAGATGAAGATAACTCCAAAGTATATTATATTTCATCAATATAGTGATTTTTCAGTAGTATTTTGCATTTTGTAAGTTATGGTTTTTGTTTTGTGTTAACTCAGTATTTAACTTTACCAGGCAGTGGTTTACAGTATATACTTAAACAAAAAAATGTTTTATATTAAAGTAAAAAAAACATGTATGTAACATTATATTTTTATTTTATCATTTCATTTATACTTCTTTTTCACACACTTTTTAAACTTGAGTACAGATATTTATAATTAATTTCATTGTTTTTAAGATCTCAAAATGGCTCTTGAAGCTGTGCTTGATGGAGCTGTTTGTGTTCCGATTCATGCAGACGGATCCAAACTGGTCTAACTTTTTCTACAACTCTGAAAATGACCAGGTGATTTCTACTAGATTTCTTGTTATCTATTTATTTATTTTATATCATATATTAATTATTATTATTATGACTATTTTACATTGTTAGCTTACTATAGGGATTTATGACTAACGTAAATCTCCTAAGCTCACCAAACCTCGTGTATTATTATTATTGTTGGAATCATGGCTAAAAAAGATTACTAACTTCAAGGGTACCCAGGTAATGAATCAATACATTCTAATCGTTATAAGTTTTTGTTTTAGGACTTTGCATACACCTAGTCAGACTAGTATAGTAAATTTTACATGTTATTTACAGGGTTAATATTTCCTTCTGTTTTACATAGGTAGTTTGCTTTGATCATAATTGATTAATTAATGATAATGCTTCTTTGTAAGTCATGGTTGGAAATATAGAAACAATTTTATATAAAGGGCTGTCATTGACACTCACTATTGTTTTAATCTTTGTGTCCCTGGACATTCCATTAGACATTTTTTTTACAAAAGGGGAATTTTTTGTCAAGAATTTTAAACTGAATTTATCCAATTTTTATTTCTTATGGGCATATATAAAGGTAAGTTACAAAGTACTTTGAATTGTATTCAACTATACTCTTACAGTTACAGATCAAACTTTTTTTTTTTCATTTCAGATAGCCTTGCTAGACTTTGGCGCTTGTCGAGAATTCAGTCAGGAGTTTGTTGACAAGTACATGAAAGTCATAAAGGCTGCAGCTGACCAAGATCCTGAAGGGGTGCTGAAAAACTCAGTGGAATTAGGTTTTTTAACTGGTTATGAGACTGAGGTAAGCTGAACATTGAACATTAGAGAAAAGAGGATCTAATAACAAACTGCAATACACCAAACCTAAAGCAAACTGAAAGGCATTTAAAATTGCACAGGAAATGGGGTGATAATAAACATTGTGAATTCTATTATATAAGACATCAGGTTATTCAAATTTTCTATTTTATTTTGTGGAATGTTCACATCTTGATACGTTTTCAGTATCACTAGTTGAGTGATGTGTCCATATAAAAACACCTACCATATTATTGTAAACTTCAGAGTAAAATTTCCTAAAGAAACATCTGATATTGAAAAGGTTACCCCCCCCATGTCAAAATCTGATCAGATATTGAAAAGGTTAATCATCAGTACTCTTGTTATAATGTTTAATTTTTTCCATATCTTTGAATTAATTTTCTCTAAAGAAGTTTACTCATCATTATACAATAGTGATATTTGTAACTTGTTGAGTTATTCCGAAGTGGAATTATTTTATATTTCTACCCGGTTATGGAACTTATTACTTTATTACAAGAACATTTTATTTGTTTCTGCCAACACAGTTGTGTTTGGTTATTCATTTTGCATTATGAACTCTATGTTACCATTATGGAGATCATATCTTCTATTAGCACAATTATACAGGCTTCAGGTCATGGTACTCCGCAGGAAGATTTTCGGCTTTACTTCATCGGGCCTCGCCTTGAGCTTGGGGGCCAACACATTTTAACATACAGTCCGTCAACTTTGGAAAGATAAGACATTATACTGTTATGGTTTTTGGTTAATTTTATTTTTAATATTATTGTCTGCAGTTATTTGAGTTCTATAACATAAGTTTCGTTTGATTGGTCAATACTCATAGTCCAGTTCAGGTTAGAAATTAGACTTGGTTGTATCCTTTTTCCTATACCACTGATATAGGTCTTTGTTATTTTAGGATTACCTGTAATTCATCTTACTGGTATATCAATCATTAGTTTAACTATATTGTTTTTCTTTCATACATCACGTCTCATATATAGGTTATTGTTAATACAAATTTAGTGTCAGCTTAAGATTTTTATTTTAGAGCTCAGTGATATCCTTTGTCCTACACTATTCATTTAGTCTTAACATGTGTGTGTGTGTGTTTTTTGGTTTACCTGTAGTTCTACTTGTGGACTAATCACCAATTAAGGTAAATATCTTGTTAGCTTAAGCTTAATAACTGTTTGTTAATTTCAATTTACCTGTGGTTATACTTCCAGAATAATCGTTAGTTCAATTAACTATTTTGTTGTTCTTCAACACACAACATGTATCCTATATGTTTCTTTCACTACCACAGTTCTTACCATTAATTTCATTTAATTTATACTTCTTACCCTTAATTTCATTTGTATGGGCTCCTGGAGGCTGGGGTCCAACCTACCTACTCCCAATATTACTCACCTTCCTCCTGTAATGGCTTAACACATTTCAGATGGCCCAGGTTTTGTCAGTTTTCCTCCACCTTATCCTGGATTGCATTCGAGGCCTCTACTGCAGAATCTGCTAGGCCTGTCTCAGTTTCTTGTTTTAGACACGTTTCACAGTATATTCCTCTTCTCCTGACATTGTTTCTTGGTGATCTTTTTGTCTGTTATGAGAGTGGGTACTTGCAAGCCTTTCCATATGTAGGCATTAATTTTTTTGCTTTATCTTATCATCGGTCAGATTTTCTTCTTGTTTTTTGTCCTTCAGATCTCTGTTTGTTTACCATCTACTGCTAATCGGGACTTACAGTTCATTTTTTGGGGCTCCTCCTGTACATTTGGCTCACATGGGATATCTGCCATGCTATATTAAAATTTTTTTCTTAGTTGCTCTTTGTTTCATTCTGAAATATTGTCGTCTTTATTCATATACCTGTCCTTTCTACAGGTTTTCTCCATTCACCTTGTATGCTCGATGCTGTTTGGGATTTTGGGCCGATCTGTCCGACTTCAATCACTTCTTGGGTCTTCTCTGTTTTCATATGTAGTCTTTGATCACATTTGGGTAGACTATTTCTGCATGACTGGGAATGCCCTCAGTACACGTTTTTATTTTATTTTCTTGGGTTGATATCTTGGTTTTTTTCACCACGTGCTTCGGTTCCAGTATCACGCCTTGCTCTTTGGACTTCTTTCAGTTCCTTATGTCTTTTGTGGGGTGGCCTGCATTTTACCCGACTTCCAAATTTTGTGGGATCTTACTTACACCATTCATAGAATTACTAGCTTTGATTAGCTCCTTCCTAAAGGGGTAGTCTTAACTTTCAGCTTCGGTAGTTGGATATGCTTTTCCTGTTCCATACTTCACATTCTTGTCTCTTGATTTTCCTTTTAATTTTCTTCCTTCCCTCTTTCTCTATATGCTTTGATAGATGATCATATCCCCTACTCCGTTGGGTTTCCCGCTTCCTCCCCCTTTTCTGGCATATTTTTCTTCCCTGATGCTCATCTCTGGTGGTTGGGGATATTGATCGATCAGTAGGAGGCTTCAGGACTATGGTCTCCAAGCAAAAGGTCTTATTCCCTTCACACCCTCAGTTGAGACTGTCTGTGATCTTATTCTCTAAGGCTGCAATTGAGGGCAATCCTCATCATTCTGGAGAGAATTTATATTAGCTTTTTTACAAATTTACAAGTCTGAAGTCCAGGGTTTGATTCCCTGTAGTGGACATAGCAGATGGCCCAACGTTGTTTTGTTCTAACAAATCAAACTTACTTGATAAAAGTTTGTTTCAAACTTTTAGGGTAAGCTGCCTCTGACTTGTTTTCTTCATTTGGTCCATCGAAAGTGTGATAATTTGGTTCTTTCCCCAGTTGCTTTTGCATCTGCACCTTACTTGATGGCTGAAAGGTCTGGAAGTGAATATTTAGTTTTCTCTCAATCCACAGACATTGTGGTTCATGGAGGGAGGTTTACTGCTCAGTTATGTCAAAGGGAAAACTATGAACTATGTTGGAACTACGTGATTTAGCCTACTACCACCAGGTGGAAGCATATTCCAACTTTCAAATAATACATCTATTCCTCAAAATTAGAGGTTCTAAGGCTTAATTTATTGTTAACCTGAATAGATCAATGCCCCCTGGTGGGACAACGGTAAGTCTATGGATATACAACTCTAACATCCAATGTGTTGTTTTCCTAAAATAAACTTTGTTGGAAGACTCTCAGGATCACCAACTTCATTGATAACGAGCTGGAACCACTGTTGGCATGCTCATTGGTTTGATTGTTGGCTTCTGCATTCATTCCTGTTGTTGTTGGTGTCTCAACTTTCATTGGCTCTTACAGGGGGTTATAATTCCGCCCCTATTCGAGGATCTCGATCCCCAACATCAGCCCTACGGTACATTGGTAGCCAGAATAGATTCTGCCCATATCCAAGGGTTCTGCTGCCAGCAGCATCAGTGTTTATTGTATGCCTTCAGGCTCTGGACATTTGGTAACTTTAACCATGGATCTATGGGCACTACAGGTCCTTTAGTCAGGATTAGTCATTCAGTGCATCTATATCATTGTCTAGATTCTCCAGGTTCACAAGTTACTCATTCCTCAATCTGCATTTACTGGGATTTTGGATATCCAAGTTTGATGTAGTTGTCTCCTATCTGCACGTTGCCATAGCAGTAGCATCCCACCACTACTGGCATATTTTGTGCACAAGGGTCATGTACTGCAGTTTGGAGTTTTTACCTTCAGACTAGCATCAGCATTATATGGGCTCTGCTGAATCTCATAAGCTTTTTCTACTCGCCTCCATTCTCTAGCCCTCTACATACATCATGAAATGGACGATTGGTTACTGTTGGCACCATCTCATTAATTGTCAAAACATCACACTCAGATTCTACTTTCAGAAACAAAGGCAAGCTTCATTCTCACAGCTGAGACATCTAGTCTTTCTCCAACTCAATATGTCATCAGTCTGGGTGTTTTTTTCATTGTGTATCTTAGTCAGGCTCAACTGACTCCCATCCAGCTCCACGCTATAGAACAGGAAGTCCAATTCTTACTTCCCTCTTCAATGCACGGATGGTTATCTCTCTCTTTTGGAAATTTGGGTATCACTTAAATCCCTCATGCCTTTGGGATGAGCATACAAGATATAATTTCAGTGGTCTTTATGCACCCAAGGAATTCTAAACATTGATTCACTGGATTTCCCAGTTTCCTTATTCATGATCATTCTTCAATCTCGAGGGATTGTTAAGTTGGGACAATACTAAGATATGGATTCCTCTGCCACCACCTCATCCAGAGATTCCAGGGTCTATTCACAGATGACAAGGCTTGCTTACACAACCTTTTAGTCTTTCTTGCTCTTCAAAAGGTGATGCCTTATGGTCTGGGATTATTAATGGGAACATTGTCAGGCTTCACTCAGACAGTTCCACAATGATGTCTTGCATTTCCCGTCAAGGAAGCACTTGGTCCAGGGCTTCTTGTTTTCAAACCTTGGATCTTTTTTCTCATGAGCACTCCTATCATATCACATTACTAACTTGCCATGATCCACAGGTGATGACTGCAGTATCAGATCAATTGTCTTGACCCAAACAGTTTCTCCCAACAGAATAGATGCTGCATCGTAAGGTTTTCTGTTGGATAGGCTATCATTTTGAAACACTGATGATTGGTGGGTTGGCCACTCATTGTAACATCCAACTACTGGCAATTTGGTCTCCAGTGCCTTACCTTTGGGCTTTGGCAATGGATGCATTTCGTCTGGATGGGACAGGATTACAACTTTAGAACTTCACTCCAAGTCGTATGTTACCAGAAGTACAATCTATGATTTGTTTCAATCCATTTTCAGATCCTATTGATAACACCAGATTGGCTTCTGCGATACCTTCAGGAGTGCCCACCTCTTCCACTTCCTCTTTGGAGGCAGCCATGATCTGACATGGTACACCTGGCTATCCAGTTATGCAGTCCTTTGCACAGCACTTGGGTTTTTATTTCTAGGGTAGCTGTGTATCTGTCTCATGCTTCGCT